ACCCCCTATCCCCCAAAAAAAAAAAAAAAAAAAAAAAAAAAGTGGGTGGCTATACTAGAAATAACCACCAAACATAAGGTGTAGTCCTGGACTAGGTAGTGGTTTGGACAAGAGAGGAATGAAGAAAATGTTTTTGTTTAACACCATGTGAATATGGTATGGGTATTATATGATGTAAAAAATTACTATATTACTTTGTATATAGAAAGGAAAAGGCTGTTGATTGAAAAGAGCACATTATGAAACAGCAGACAGTGACATCTTATTTTAATAAAGAATTCACATGTGTCTGCCTACACATAGAACGGTCTAGGGGTTTGCGTGAACTAACATGCTTCCAATGCTCATGTCTAGTTGGTACATATGTGATGTTTATTGTCTTAATTTTTTTTAGTTTGTATTTCCAGTTTCCTGTAATGGACATGTACTGCTTCTATAATACATTTTTTAAAAAACATCACGATTAACATGAGCTACAGCATCTGACCTTTGGGAAAAAAATGTAATGGTGAGTAATTTCCAATAAAAAACAATTATGTTCATATCTCATTCTCTACAGATAGAATTTGGAAAACTACAAATATAACTGTGGCAAGATGCAACAACAAAAATGCCTTAAGTGACTACAAATGTTCTCACACTAAGGAAAACGACTAAGAAGACTGGTAAAATGATCTGCACAAAATTAACATTTAAAGATACTTTATCTTCCAGTCTTATTTGTCAAAAGAAGTTAGGGCAAAAAGAATAAACTGCTGTTAAAATAAACGAGTATTGTGTATAGCGAGATCCTCCAACAAAAGCACACTTACAGTCTGTCCCTTGGGAGAGCCTTCTTCGGTCAACTTCTCAAACATTTCTTTAGCTGCCTGGATGTTCTGTGTCAGGTAATCGCCAAACAGAAGAGCATATGACACCCTCTCCAGGGCTCTGGTATGGTTCATGCTTGCTGCCTTCTGAAGATACCGATATGCTCTTTAAATGGAAACAATTACACAACAAATTAGCAATATTTTAGACTTTCATTAAATTTTTCCCTCAAGATCTACAAAAATGAAACATTAATTTCCCTATTCTGTAGAATTCCTCTGATATTTATTTCTATTAAGTCATGGTACTTATGTATATAGAAAACATTCTGGCCACTTTGTTTTTACCTAAGATATCAGTTCTCTCTGTTATCCTAATACATTTAGCAATAATATATCCTAATTACACTAATAGTAAACCTAAAAATGTCTATTAAAAAAGTTAACTAGATTTGCAATGAGAGAACTGTTATAATAATATGGTGTTCAGTAAAAAAGAAAATGATAACCATTGCAATTTTCTTTTTAAATCTTTGTAGACTATTAACAAAAGTCAGCTGAAACTGAAGGGACATAAAGTGTTAGAAGACAGTCGCTTGTTTTATGTTCTTTCCAAGTGTAAATTCTAATCTTTATCTGCAAAAAAATTACAAAGCAAAAAGAAAAACACCTGGCAATTCCTTACGTATTATGGCATTTAAATTCTGAGTAGCATAAGTAGTCTTGCGTCTTAGAAACTACCACGCCTTTCATCAATTATTTCCATTTTGCTTACTGTTCATTCTTGTGATTAATATTTATAATCTTTTTACCCCAACAAACTAAAAGCTGATCAAAGCAATGCCACTGATGCCCATATATCATACATTTCTCATAATGCAACTTAAGAAATCCTCTGCTTTGGGCAATACACTTTTCAAAAAAGCGCTTTGCTGTTTATCTCTGTAGTGGCCTCTCTCAGGGGAGGAATGGACTTGGCAGTGCTACCTACTCTCTTTTCTGGCTTTTCTTATTGCTTCCATTGAGGATTTTCATCCCGGTCTGGTACATCATTTCTGCCTCCTCCATTTGCCGTCTTCTAGCAGCCTCTTCTTCAGCTAAAAACAAAATGTCAGATACATTTAAGTGGATTGTAATTCTACACTGATCATTTAGCAAAAATGGGTATCTATTCTTTCAGGTCGTGATACAAACAATTAATAACCTTTCACTAATTACAAATCTGACTCTAAAGACATATGATTTAGTGTGGACTTTACCTGTCAAAAGATTTTTTTTTAAAAAAATAAAACTCATTTAAATCACTTTCTTTTAGAGAAAGCAATATCAACCTGCTATTGGAAGGTACTTTTCTGTTAGTAATTCTAAAACTTTTTATATAATTCAACTAAAATTTCAGTAACAGTTTATGATTATATGCCAAAGTCAGCTAAAATCAGAAGGACATTAAAAAACAATAGTCAAAAAATATTATTATAGTCAAAGGACACTTTAATCTCACCCAAAATGCTGTTCATCTTTATGAGAAAGTACTTGATTAATTATGTAATAAAAAATTTGTAAAAAACTGATTTTTTTAAAAATGTAGATCCTGATCTAATGCTAAAGCTCTGTATTTTTTTCTATGCACTGATACAACACCAAAAATCACAGAACTGTTAGTTATCTGCAAAATTATTTTGCTACTGTAATACGGCATTTTAACAGAAATCTAGAACTCATTAGGAGACTTGTGAATATTTCATTAGGACCAATACTAACAGAAATAGAACTGAGTTCTTGTGTATAAAAAAATCTGATTGTATTGCATTAGTGCACCTCATACTCCAGCCCACACCCAAGGACCGGCTACCTTTGATGCTCTCTTCTAGAGAACATCATAGGTAGTTCTAACTACCCTGTCAGAGCCACTATTTTAAAAATGTTAATTGGTATCAAAGAGGTATGTTCAAGATTTTCTATTCTTCATTATTAGTTACAAAGTCTTTCCTGACAACATACCTTGCCTGTAGAGGTCAGCCCCTTTATATTGACATTGATATGTAGAAAGGTTAAATATACTACATTTGTCAAATGTTCCCCAACCCCTAAGCATAGTGCATTTCACTCAAAGTATTTTTAAAAGGTATTATTCATTTTTCTTCTGACCACTATAAACCTTCTCAATAATGTTTCTTTACTGTCAAAAAATGTTTTACATTTATTAATTTAGCATCCTGCCTGTGGGTTTGCAGAACAGTGTGTGCACACCAACGGAAAACCAGCCCTAAATAAGACACAAGTGTGATAAGCTGCCCAAGTGACAGGCTGGAGATAAGTAAGTACACTGCATGCTTCCTGTGCTTAAGTCCATTCAGGCTACCACCAAGTCATCATCACTGACCATTTCTGACTGGGGTGGAAAAAAAAAGATGGCTAAGAAAAGGCCTTAAAGCTATTTTCCAAGACATAAAGCAGTGTGGACATTCCTCCTACTGAGTATACTTACTTTCACAAAAGCCCCACTTTTCATCTGCCTTGTAGTCATAGGTTGTAGCACACCATAGTCTGCCATCTTCCCTCCCGTCTGATGTACAGTCATCATATTCCTTATCCAGGAACAGAAAAGGGAAGTGGCAGGGCTCCCCATGCGCTGTGCCTTCAATGGCGGTCAAAGCTGAGAAGAAAAGAAAAATCTAAACAAACAGAACCTCTGGTATTCGTGGATTTAATGCTGACAATTTCAACTATTAGAATCTGAAGACAAAGATATATGATTTGTAATGGGGAACGTAAAGGGCCAGCACCGATTCTGATTAGGGACGACCTGAGGGTGAGTCAACTTAGTGAGCATGGCTAGCTGACTACTCAGCTCTACATCCAACTTAGAATTTCTGAAGGTCTTGAGATATCATAACCTCAGAAACCTGTCTGCTGTAAGACTCCTGCCCAATCAGTGAGCAAAAAATAAGGCAAATGCAACTGAACCAATTCTCTCTTCTGCATAACTCTCCTTTTTTCTATCTGGATGCTGCAAGTCGATTTCTTCAAAAATATAGTTATACAGGGAAAATGCTCCCCCAGGCAGTTAATCACTCATGTACTCCTCTGTGATCCCACAGCATTTTATTAGAGCGCTTATCATATGTATTAAGGTTCTTTCTTTACCACACTCTAGCTACCACTAAACTCTGAGCTTGTTAAGGGGTAGAGACCACATCTCCAATTCGTGCTATAAGTTCTTTCTGGGTAGCTCCTCAGTGCTGGGAATTACACCAGGTGGTAGAAATGAGGTGGAGCAGAGAACTGTGCTCCGAAGAACTTACTGCCTAGCAAGGAAGAGAGACATTAAACAAAAGTATGATCGATGTTATGGAAAAAGCCTCCCTTGTCAGGGACTGAAGTTGACACTGAACCTCATGGATGTGTACGAGCAGGGGCTCATTGAAAGGCTGCAGGGTATGGTGGGAAGAAGTATTATAGACAGAGGGAACTGTGTGTGTTAGGATCAAATGAAAGAAAACATGGCATATTAGAGAAAATAAAGAGTTCAGCACATTAGAACATGTAATGTGAGTGCCAGAGTGGACAAGAGGCTGAATGAAGAAGCACAAATAAGCCTGACTAGGAAGGAACTGACAAATCTTATTAAAGAGTTTGGACTTTATCCTGAGAACAGTGGAAACTCACTAAGAGTTTTAAGTAGGAGTTACATGCTCATACTTACAGTTTATTGAGAGAGTAGGCAATGGAATAGAGAGAAGCAAGGCTGGATGCAGGTGACCAGTTTAAAGGTTATGACAGTAGTCTAATCAAGAGGTAATGGAAGCCTGAAGAGGATAATGGAATGAAAGAAGAGGAAGTATTCAAGTGATGCTAAGGAAGTAGTATGGTACTATTTACTGACTAAATGTGCAGATGAGAGGAGTCAAGGAAGTCTATCAGGTATTAGGCTTCAGGAAGTGAGAGGGTTGTCCTTACTAAGGTGGAGAACACTGAAGGAGGAGTAGGTTACTGTTCAGGGAGAAAACGGATCAGGGCAGAGACAGGTTAAGCTCTAATCTTGCTACATTCGAGGCGGCTGTTAAAAAAAAAAAAAAAAGAGGTAAAGATGCCTTAGACATCTTTTTAGTTGTAGCCAAAGAGAAAGTTCTCCAGTTTATAGATAAACTTGAAGCCAAAAGTATGCATATGAATGTTGAGTGAGAGGTAGATGAGAAGACCACAAGGATAGGGCTGAGCCAGAACCATACTCAGTACGAGCACACATCGGATTCCGCTGGTTGCTTCTACACGGAGAATTTAATTAGGCTGCAGTGCTTAGTGATTAAGGGTTTAGGTTCTAGATTCAGAACACCTGATTCAAAACCTACTGCTCTGTTCATTTTAAGTGTCAGATTTGATTACTGGCTATCATTAACTTAAATTACATAATCAGTCAGCTTCATTATGCCAGAGCAGTGATTAATGTTTTCAAAACTGGCACTGTTTTTGTGGTGGTTTTTAAAATGACAGCCTTAAAATTCTTACAGAATTTATTCATGGGAAAAAAATTAACTACAATTAACACTACTATGAGGAATATCTATTTGAGATAATTGACTGGAAACAAGCAAGTCCTAGTAAGTAACTTTTGGAAGATTTTAAAACAAGTTTAAAGGGTAACAGCAATTTCCCTCTTGTGATTTTGCGTGGACAAGATAGTTGAGAGATACAGATCTGCTTTCTAGGGACATACTAATAAAGGATGTTTTTAACCCTGCATTAAAGCAAGATACTGTATCTATAGGTTCTGTTAATAAGAAAACTATATATTTAATTATGTTGCTTGTTTGAAGCTATCTTGTATTTCCAAATATACAACAGTAATATCATTTTAGTCAAATATATTTGTAGTCAAAATAGTTGAAACACAATTATTTAATGTTAAAAAGCTATTCACCTCAAGACAACTACCATAGTGTTCATCAATTTTACTGCACAGAAAGAAAAACTCAACCGACCGTCATCAAAAATCCCTAAAGTACTAAGAATGATGATTTAATTTAAACCATACTTGAAATAAAGCAAATGGTACAGGCCAGATTAAGAGGTATTTATTGTTTGCTGGGAAATAGTATTTGATAATCTCTTAAGGGAAAAATACTAGTGTTAGGTAATTTACTACAAGCAGACTGCATTCAACCAAGCTTGAGAACTGCTAACTGCAGTTGAGAAATTACATATGTTAAAGAGGGAAAGACAGGCAGTGCTTTAAGGATTAAAATGTACTTTTCAGACAAAAAAATGAAATGTAGTCATATGGAGAATGAACAAAACATTAAGATCAGTTCATACAAGCTCAGTTCTGTGAAAAATAACTCATAATTTTTAAGTAGAAATAGAAGCACTGGCCCAGAAGAAAGTGACAAGCTTCCTAACACTTAGGTAGCACGCACTGTCAGGAACCATATAGAGTGAAACTTGCTCAGGAATACTGCTATTTAAGAAAAGTGAGTTTCTCTAAATAATGGCTTTAAAGATAGTTCTTCAGAGTGTCAAAAACCCTTGTGGGTACTTTTCTCACGAGGATGGTCTCCTAAAGGTCTTCTTACAAATAAATTCTTGTAAAACCAAAGAAACAACAGTAGGACCTGTTGTAGGCAATGACCTATGTTTCCTTAACCATTTAATTCTGTTTACTCTGATTACTAAATCCAGGTTTGTTTATTCCCTGCCCCCCCCCATGCAAATGACAATGAGGTAGAAATGCCATCCTATTACTCAACTAATGTGCTTACATCAGAACATAATATTAAGCATGATTTAGTAAGTTTAAACTCAGTTCCTTCTGTGCCATTCGAAATAGAGCAACATGCTGGTTATTAATTTTTCTTCTTTTTAAGACTATAAGGATAAAGTATTTATTGCAGAAAAGACAATCTAAGCAATAGAAAAATACAAAATTAAAGAAAAATCAGTCATATTTAGCTACCACTGCAAATTTTCCCCCCCCAAAGGTAATGGCTGTTAATAAAAAAGAAGTCATTTTAACTTACAAACATATGCAGGTGGGGAGGGGGGCGGGAATGGTCTTTCTTTCACATAAGAAACTCGTGGTGGTTAATTTTATGTCAATTTGGCTGAACCACAGTGCCCAGATAGAAAGAAACTTGTGGTGGTTAGTTTTTTATCAACTTGACTGAGCCACAGTGCCCAGATATTTGGTCAAACATTATTCTGTGAAGGTGTTTTCCGGATGAGATTAACATTTAAATCAATGGACTTTGAGTAAAGCAGATTACTCTCCATAGTGTGAGTGGGCCTCAGAGACCAAAGCCATCTCCTCTGAAAAAGGAATTCTGCCAGCAGATGGCCTCTGGTTCTCTTTCTCTGCAGAACCCTAACCAATCTAAGATCATACTAAGTGAATTATTTTCAATGTGACATTTTCACTTAACACTGGCTTTCTTCCAAGTGGCAGACAGTGCAGATAGGCTCACTATGATTCTGAATCCCTTTCTCACTTTCTGTAGTGATAGGAATGGTCAAGGGAGACATATGGCAGTTCTACCAATGACTTCTGGGGGAGGCTCCCTCTTCTTATGCAGGCACCACTTCTTCCTGAGGACCAAGGGCCTGGAGGTACAGACACCACCAGGTGTGACCACATGGATCAAACACGAGGATGAAGCAAATTTACTAAGGTGACAACGCGAGAAAGATGGAGCTGGAGTCCTTGATGGCACAAGCCCTGAACTGCCTGTGAAGTTCTAGTTGTATGAGCCAAATAAACAAAACTCTGCTTCTGCCACCGCCTGATGGATTTTGTCGTTTGCAACAAAACATGTTCCCTTTAAAATGACTATAAGTATTTTATATTAGGGAGTACCCCAGTGTAATCATTCCCCTCTAGATGGTCACTGATTTGTTCGCTTTCAACAAACGTTGAGATGATGTGCAGAAAACAGTAAACACAACAGGCATGACTGTTATCCTCTGAGAGACGGGCCCTTGGCTGGCATCTGGGAACTTAGATTTTAGATAGATTCCCACCACCCTAACTGAAAGAAGTGACTCTTTGTGCCTAAACTGTTTGTAAAAACAATGTGATTTATGCTCAACATCTGTTTTTCTTCTGGGAGTCTGCAAATTTGGTACATGCTAAGCAGAAAGTGACTACGTGACTAGTATCTATATCTTCCCTGGGAAATAACATTTAACATGTTTTGTCACATGTGCTAAGGGATTTAAGTGTGTCCCCTGGGAGACGACCTTCGGACACTTGCACCTTGTTTCCTTTGGACTATGCCTCATGCTGGTTGTTTTGTAATCTTTCACTATGATAAATCACAGCTGTGAGTATGACTATATGCTGAATCCGCCCAGCAAATCGTCCAACCTGGAGGTTGTCTGGGGAACCCCTGACACCAGTTGGCATCAGAAGTGGGATTCTCTAGAATGACCCTGACTCACTGAAATATGGGGCAAGCATTGAAATATGGTGCAAGCACTGTTTGGGAAAGGGAAGGTGAGGGATAAGGTGTGGTAAACCTCTGGGGTCCCAACTGTTACAGGGTCATCCGTGGGATGTAGCAGCAGCAGAGTTGCTATCTGTTGTGAGAGGTCAAAGTTACCTGTGGGATTTGAGAACGTCAGATTCAATTCCAAGAGAATCAGCTTGCTGGGTTCCGAAGT